GGGTAAATTGATTATTTTGTAAGAGGAGATGCATATTAGCAGATCGTCGCCCTTAATAGTGTTCCGACGTACGATAGTCGACGTCGCCCTCAATGTTTTTTGCCATTTTCCAGCGATTCTTCCACCCCAAATCATCCTTGTTACCACCATTCGAACCCCTATCCTCCCCTCTACAAAACCTTATATTTCACAACTCCTCATCACTCGTCGATCGCTAGTCACAACAGTCGCTACATGGGACTGTTTTTGTCAGTCTCAATCGACGAACGGCGACTAAAAGGTTGCTAGGGACATAAGGATTTTGTAGAGTTGGAGACACTGGTTGCAGTGGTGATATCCAATTAGATTTTCGTCGCCAAAATCGATAGGAATCCAACGAAACCCTAAGCCTCATGGTGCCGGCGATCAGAGGGGTCAATGAGTCGGGAACCATAGGGGTTTTGGACGATGAATAATGGGGAAGGTGATGGAGGTGACCAAGGGGTTCAACACCATCGAAAACAACCTAGAGCCGACAAAAACCGAGAGATTGCACAGTCACCGATGGTGTTATTGAAGTATTTTAAAAATAAGATTGTTAATGATAATTTTAGTAATTTAGGGGTTAAAACGTAATTTATTAAGGACATTATGATAATAACATCCCCTATAACGTAAAACTTGTTAACAGTGTTATTTTAAGAGTAAGAATCTGGAATAATTACAGTAAAACTTGTTAACAGTGTTATTTTAAGAGTAAGAATCTGGAATAAATGAAACATGAGATGTGTGGGAATATGTGGTTTACTCTTTATTTTTATTCAAATAATTAATATTAATTAAAACAAATATCTATATCAATTGTACAGAAACTCTCAATTTATATTAAATGATTATTTGATTTGGCTTGCGGTATTGAAAAATGGATAAAAATAGGAAATTAGAGGCGCATGAGAATGAAGTGGTGCACGCTCGCTAAGAGCACCTGGAAATGGGGCTGTTAACTTTGTTTTGTGTGTGGCGGTAACTTTGAAAAAGTGGGAGAATAGTAGAAGTGTCAGGTTTTACCGACATAACCACGTGCCATCTTCTCGCGTGGGTTGCCCCGGTCAGCTTATCAACTGCCGACAGTCTACGGTTACAGACTTCTTCCGCCAACAATGATATGAAGAATTGACCCCTTATTCCGGCACGCCTTTGGATTATTTACTCATTAGAGGAATATCATATTGTTTTCTTGCTTAAGCAACTAAGCATGCATAAGTGCATAAGCATAACCTTACTATCATATTAATGCCAATTATTCCAGCAAAATTATTTATAGGTCTTTTTTATTTTCAACAAGGGAAGGGAAGTGGGCTACATTGAGAACGTTCACCCGCCGAAAGTCAAATGGGCGCTAATGTTTAATTTATCTTTTCCATTCTTAAATGTTAGGATAATGTTATTTGTACAAACTCTTTATACAAAGAGAGTTTATACAAACTGACGTGACACATCATAAAATATGTTATGTGGTATTGGAACTCACGTAATTTAACGTGACATTAATATTACATAGGTCTTCATAACACATACCACATGATATGCTTTGTGATATACTACGTTAGTTTGTATAAGCTTTCTTTATACAAATAACATTACCCTAAATGTTAATGCCAACAATGGGAATGGGACTTTCTTCTTTTTCATTTTTTTTTTGGCTTCCTCTGTTACCTATGGGCTATTATAATAGTTACACTTTGTTTTAGTTATGGGCAATTTCCCTTTTATTAAGTCTCACCCCAAACAATGGGCCAGGCCTCATCATATCCACTTTGGGTTGGGGTACTTAAAAAAGATATGGGCACATTGAGAAAGTGGATCTACTTATAAATCATGTTGCTCCATTTATATTAAAGCCTATGGGTTTGCACTTACAACCAACTGTTCTTTGTATGGTTTTTTAAAATTCAATTTATTAAATTTAATTGCAAAATGTTGTATGCATTAATTTTATTAAAAAAAAAAAAAATTGTTATCAGCGACTGTCAACTTAGAAAATCGATCTCGACCATCGAACTGTGACTGACAACATCTTCAAAAGCAACACCAATCTTCATTGCGATAATTACTTATAGGTAAATATTGTGAAAAAAAAATTACCCAAATATGATCTTCACCATAAAATAGGTCGCATATTGGAGATTGTTTTGATGCTAGCAACCAATTTCCAACATAGTTTCCAAGATGATTTCTTGCCGATGATTGACACTATTTTTTTTTTTTTTAAAAGGATAAATTATCTAATTCAAATAATCATATGATTAGAATAAAAATATTTTTTGTTGTATAAATTGTGGTTAGGGCTACTAAAGAGCCAAGCTGCTTGTGAGCAACAAACCAAGCTCGAGCTTGAATAGTTTGATTGTTTAACAAGTCGAGTATCGAGCCTCTAGGTACTCAGCTCGTGAGCTCACGGACCTTTTAAGGTTCATTAACAATAATACTCACGCATCTAGAAGAACCCGAAATATAGTATCCCAATTTTCCATTTCCGAAATCATAGAATTAGGGCTCTCCATCACTCAGTCTCCCAAAATTGCAACGCGAAGCTGCTCCAATCTCTAGTTCTCCACTTCATCACCATTTTGTTATCATTGGTTCATCTTCATCACCATTTCGTTGTCTCTTCGTCTTCATCACCATTTTTGTTCTCTCTTCATCTTCATCTTCGTCACCATTTCATATAATCAATTTTATTGTGTGTCTTACATTGTCAAAACTCAAAAGTAGGGCTCTTGGATTTCTCTTATTTTGTTCTTCATATAATCTAATTGTAATGAGATATTCAACCTTGGATGTGATTTGAATGATTTCTACAACATGTGAAGGATTATTGAATTTGTTAAAAGAATGTTCCGCATCCTGCACATAGTTTGTTTTATTATAATCTAATTGTAAGCAGTTGTGCAACATTGGATGTGATTTGAATGAGTTATGCACCTCCTGGACGATAATTTGTCTTATTTTTTTCTAACTGTAATGAGTTTCACAACCTGAGACTTTATGCGAATGATTTCTGCAAATGGCCATCAAGCTCTCAAACTGTTCACGAGCCCAGTGTCTGCTACCGAGCTCGAGCCCCATTTACTAGATCTTGCTGAGCTTCGAACACCATGGTGTTCAGCTCAGCTCAATTCAGTTGTAGCCCTAATTGTGGCAGTCATATATTGTTCAGAAAAACTGATCAAGTACTACATTTGGGTTATAGGACTCTAGTACAAAAAACTGATGGTGGGGGAAGCTGATCCAAAACACCAATTTAGGTCCGGTTTTTCCAGGAATCCGCTCTTTGATAATGAAAGCGGAAAGCCTAAATTGACTTGAGTAACAACAACTATGGAAAATTTGACAAGAGGACATATACAGAATCCATCCTGTATTATGTGTATTATTAGTTGAAATGTGTTTTAATAATTCCATTTTGCATTGTCTCATTCATATCTGATAAAATTTTCTAGTCAAAATCACGTGCTAGGAATTATTAATTATTTATGTAATTAAATATTACAAAGGTTATTAAAGTTGTGAGTTGTTGATGTTGATTTTGACATTAACGACTCACGTCTCATAAGAAAAACATGAAATGAAACAATAAATGAGAAACGATATTTAAAGTGGTTCGTATGCTCAAAAACGAATTTTACATCTACTGTTATTGTATTAATAGATGGGTAAAATTAGATCGCGTGAGGCGAGCAGAGTTATAATCTAGAGAGAATACACAGAGAGAGAGAGAATATAAGCTGTTTTAGACTAAGATTAGCCAATCCTATAAATGAGAGGGATGTTCTCTATTTATAATGGGAGAGTTCAAGATAATAATTATAAATCTGTAAGTGGGTAGGTATCGTGCAAATCTTTCTTTACATCATATTGGTTATTTGCACGAAAAATATCTTCAAATTACGTAGGGCTCAGACATGTTGGATAATTCCTAACCACTCGCAAGCCTAGCACTCATCTGCACTCATTGACAAGAATCATACATTTTCTGTCACTAGGCGATGTGATAATATCTAACGATACAAAACATTTTTAAACCCTGATTGGCTTTGGTTGAAGAGTCCTGTCACCCTAAATTTTCAGGCATAACATGAGTAATCAAATAAGTAATGAGTCGTGAGATCCATAATTTGTGTTAGAATATGATTAATAATTAAGGTGTTTTGACATTCGTTCATTCAACCAACTTCGTGGCTGAGGTATGCGCTTCCGTCACACCCCTCGTCGCCACTAAAGTTGGCAGTCTTTTAAGTAAAGTGGTTGATTTGATTGTAAGGAAACTCCCCCAGTCCCCACCCCTCGTATTTCTCACAATCCTCCTTCTTTGTGATTTTGCATTTTCACCCACAACACTTTTGGTATTTTTAACATCCCTAAGGGTAGCTTTGTTTATTGTTATGTCTTTCCTTGACAGAGTTTATGGAAGTACAACGTCAACAAAAAAATGTCTTAATTGTTTGGTTAAAAAAATGTAAAAGAGTATTCTAAGTAGACTAGTATTACCAAAAAAGACTCTAAGTATTAATATTTGACAGGAGAGTGTGTGTACCGTTTTCATATGTGTCTCTGGGCCTGAGAGGATGTTTTTTAAATTTTTGTAAAAGTAGGGAGCGAAGAAACAAAATTTAAACAAATTATAATGTGAATGCAATTCAAGAACTTTTAATGTGGATTAGTTGTGGAACAGATTTTCCACATCAGTTGGGAAGGTCCGGGAAAGTCGTAGGAAGGCCACACAAAGAAACCATTCTCGGTCATAGTCAACTAATGTATTTATTCAATTACCCACTTTACCCTTACTCTTTGATCCAATTTCCCCAGACAATGTGAGAATGACAAAATTGACCCCCTCATTTTCATATATACACGTTTGCCATCACTGCCTTATGCTGTTCAATTCGTTGATTCCCAAAACCCATTCATCGTTTTGTTTTCTCAAGTCTCTCTCCCTACTCTCTCGCAGGGAGAGGAAACAAGAAAAACTCAGGATTCCTCCTCGCCTTAATTCGCTATAATCGAAACCTAGTTTCTTCGCTCAATTTCATACCAGCTCCCAGTTCTGCCCTCGCTTTAACTCAAATCCTCAATTCAACCCTCCCGTCTCCGGTTCACTGAATCTTCCCGTGACAATGTTATCTATCGCTTGCTAGAGTTTCTACTATCAATCCTTTTAGTCTACGAAAGCGCAATTAACCTAATCGTCATCAAGCTTATCAAAATTGCTAATATGGCGTTACGTGTTACCTTCAACTTCTCCGGGTATGTTGCCCAAAACCTAGCCCATTCCGCCGGCATCCGGCTGGGCTGCACCACTACTTCTGCCACACGATCCTTCCATGAATGTGTTTTTCGCCCTCGGATCTTCTGTCAGAACCAAAAGCCTGATCTCGATCCTTCCCCAAATTATCATCCCCAAACAAAGCATAGAGCTTCTGTTTATAACACAATTGCTGCTGAATTTTTAGGCGACAATAGTTCTACCAGTCCGATCCTTATGGGACTGGTGTCGTTGATGAAGTCAACGGCATGTATTTCCGGTTCTTCGGCAAGTACTATGGGTGTTCTCGGTATTTCACCCTTCAAAGCCACTTCGATTATCCCCTTTCTAGAGGGATCGAAGTGGCTGCCGTTTAACGAACCGGCTCCGGAGAGTGAATACGAGGATAAAGGAGGGACTGATAATAAAATAAAGTATCATGATAGTGGAAATGATGAAGATGTTAGCTTGCAATGGAAAACCAAGGAGTTCGATAAGAGCGGAAGTTGGTTGTCAAAGATGCTGAATGTTTGTTCGGAGGATGCAAAGGCGGCTTTTACTGCTGTGACAGTTACTTTGTTATTCAGGTCGTTTTTGGCTGAGCCCCGATCGATTCCTTCTTCTTCTATGTACCCTACCCTGGACGTTGGCGACCGCATTTTGGCGGAGAAGGTGAAGTCAACTATATTAACTTAGGTTGTATCTTAAGTATATGGTAAGATTATGGAGTTGTAGATTATTATTTGGTTTCGTTTGGTAATTAGTGTTGCTTGGTAATCTGTAACATAACTAACATGTTAAACAAGCATGTAGTAAAATTAGGTTCTTCATTTTGAGGTTGTTTGTTAATGAAATAACCAATTTGTTCATGTTATCAATGATGATCCATGACCTAACTCTTGAAAACAAAAATTCATAATCGCGATTGTATTGTGTGATCATAGACAAATTGTTGCTGATTGGTAATCTTATACATAACTATACAAACCATTTCATATTTACATAACTGAGCAGTGTTTTAAGTAGTTGAAAGATGACAACATATTTCTTACTTTTAAGTTTACATGGAGTGAGATATAGGCTTTATCAAAGGTAAATGCTCTTTTATGATCTCTAGAGAATTTTATTGTGTGGATGAAAATGTTTGATTTTGTGGACTGAAGCAAGAGGATTGGAGATGTTTAAGATCTAGAGATAAGTTTACCTTTTGATATTGATCTGATATTAATTTTTCTTCATTGGTTTATCAGGTCTCGTATTTTTTCAGAAAGCCTGAGGTATCAGATATAGTTATTTTCAAGGCACCTCCCATCCTGCAGGTATTCTTTCAAAATTCCTTTTCAATTGCGTTTAGCAGGGTATCTTTAGTTCGTTCTTTCTTTAGTATTCATAGTTTTTGATTGTTCCCTTATGTTATGTGCAGGAAATTGGTTACAGTTCTGGTGATGTATTCATTAAAAGAATAGTGGCGAAGGCTGGAGACTGTGTACAAGTAAGTACACCTATTTATCCAATTTATCCTAGTCCTTACTTTAGGTCTTCCTTTATTTCCTATTATCCTGTCTTTGTAGACAAATTTTCATCTACTTTCCTTTCTGACATCTGATATCATGCTTTGCACTATGTGTTATAGGTTCGTGATGGACAATTGCTTGTAAATGGTGTTGCTCAAGATGAAGATTTTATTTTGGAGCCACTTGCTTATGAAATGAACCCAATGGTAATTTCCCTGCTCTGGCTCCTTTTCTTGATTTAATTGGAAATCTTCTCATCTATAACATCTTTTAGCCACTTGGCTTCTTAGCAAGCTGCTCAACATTTATAAAATCGGCTAACAAAGTTTTGCATTTTGTTCTGTTTGATCCTTTTGAAGGTTGTGCCCAATGGCTATGTCTTTGTGATGGGAGACAATCGTAACAACAGTTTTGATTCTCATAACTGGTAAGTCTAGAATCTCAGTGTACTAATGTAATTTAGTTTGTAATACGTTTGGTGTTTTTTGGTCTGATTTTTCCTCTCAAACATTTATATATTTTTATAAACGTCTTTTAGTCAGAAATTATTGGTTGTATATGAAGTATTACCATTAGTGCAAATTATGTGGGTAGAATATTATGCCTTTATAGTGTTAAATGTAATATTTCATATTGACGTGGTTGTTTTATTTCAGGGGTCCGCTTCCTATTGAGAACATTGTTGGTAGATCAGTATTTCGGTATTGGCCACCTTCCAGAGTATCTGACACTATAAATGATCAAACTGCAAAGATGACTGCTGTGGCGCTCTCATGACTTGTTGCTTCCTGTTTCAAGAGAAGATCTTAGATTAACTTTGATTTCTCCGAGATAACAATTTTTATAATTGTTCTCCGCACTCTTGGCTCATAAATGAGCAATTGTTAATATTTGACCTTTTCTGTGTTTTTTCCCTGTCTATTTTCGACATTGTTTCAATAGTTCATTTGTTCCATCAGTATGTAATTCTGTTGATGGCCCAACCATGGCCGATGACGCATTCTTTTTGTAATCACATATTCAGACTTGCTTCGACAAGAGTTTAAAAAAAAAAAAAAAAGAAAAAAAAAAAAAAAAAGAGACTTTCAAATGTAATGTTTTGTATAATATTATAATTTGCAGTTTCCTTATGCCGTTGATTGTTATGTCAAAATTGAAAATTGATATTTCAATTGCCTCAATTCTCATCTTGCGGCTTTTTTAGTTACTACCAAGAGACAACCAATTGAGAAGTATCATCGTCAAAAGGTCAAACTAAAAAGATTTTGATTATGTTAAAAACATATTGGAAAGCTACTTCGCTCTGTCCAACTCAACAAGCTAGATATGTCTTGATAATTAATCACTACATTTTGGTTGTATGATAAATGAAGTAAAGAGATGGAGGATGAATTCACTTAAGAAAATGTTTTGCTTGAACTTAGGTCATTCCACACTCAATAAAATACACCTAAATTATGACAAGAATGGCGAAAATACCGTCGAAGTTGTTGAGTGAGTTGTAATTGCCAACAATCTTTCATTACGAAACCGCAAGAGTACGTATAACCCTTTAATACTCTCAACATTTCAACTTCTCAAATTACCGCAGTGTCAATCTCAGTATACTCTTCCTGTCTTCCATTTCGACCTTGTTGTATCTATACCAATGGGCACACACGAAGTAAACAACAAAATTCACACCACTCATCACTGCTAGCAACCAATAGAAATAGTTGAGCTTGTCTCTGTTTAAATTGTTGCTAGCCAACCACCCACCACTCACCTTGTTCACTACATCCACCGCCAACACTGAGGTTAAAAAGTACCCAANAAAAAAAAAAAAAAAAGAGACTTTCAAATGTAATGTTTTGTATAATATTATAATTTGCAGTTTCCTTATGCCGTTGATTGTTATGTCAAAATTGAAAATTGATATTTCAATTGCCTCAATTCTCATCTTGCGGCTTTTTTAGTTACTACCAAGAGACAACCAATTGAGAAGTATCATCGTCAAAAGGTCAAACTAAAAAGATTTTGATTATGTTAAAAACATATTGGAAAGCTACTTCGCTCTGTCCAACTCAACAAGCTAGATATGTCTTGATAATTAATCACTACATTTTGGTTGTATGATAAATGAAGTAAAGAGATGGAGGATGAATTCACTTAAGAAAATGTTTTGCTTGAACTTAGGTCATTCCACACTCAATAAAATACACCTAAATTATGACAAGAATGGCGAAAATACCGTCGAAGTTGTTGAGTGAGTTGTAATTGCCAACAATCTTTCATTACGAAACCGCAAGAGTACGTATAACCCTTTAATACTCTCAACATTTCAACTTCTCAAATTACCGCAGTGTCAATCTCAGTATACTCTTCCTGTCTTCCATTTCGACCTTCTTATATCTATACCAATGGGCACACACGAAGTAAACAACAAAATTCACACCACTCATCACTGCTAGCAACCAATAGAAATAGTTGAGCTTGTCTGTATTTAAATTGTTACTAGCCAGCCACCCACCGCTCACCTTGTTCACCACTTCTACCACCACTGTGCTTAAGAAATACCCAAATGCCACTGAGCACCATGAGATGGCTGTGCTTAATGACTTCATACCAGCTGAACTCTCTGCATAGAAAAACTCTAGCAGTCCAATCAGACTGAACATATCAGCCGCTCCAAATATAGCATATTGGAACCCAAGCCAAAACACACTCATTGGTAGAGGCTCAATAGAGTCAACCATGTCGTGTTCTACAGCCACAGATTTCCTTCGGGTTTCCATGATTCCGGCTACACCCATGGAAACGGCTGAGAGTACCAGTCCAACTCCAATTCTCTGAAGATGTCGGATTCCAGTTGGTATTCCGGTAAACTTTCTAGCAATTGGGACAAACAGGCGGTCGTATATTGGGATTAGAATGAACATGAAAATTAAGGGGATGACTGGGAGGGAGGGACCAGGCATTTTAAATCCCAACAAATGAGGGTCCATTGTCATGCTCTGTTGGATGGAGAAAGTTAGGAGTTGAGCCAAACACGTGTTCATGAAAACAGTGCTAAGTATAATTGGGAGCATGCGAATTAGAATCTTTGTTTCTTCAACTTGTGTTACTGTGCATAGTCTCCAGGGTCCGGGAGTGATTGATGGAGATGCACCAGAAAAATTACTAGTTGTAAGGATTGCAGCACGGTCCAAGAACCTGAGAAATTTGATGGACGAAATGATTTTCAATTACAGATCCAAACTTAAAAAAATTAGTTAATAGAGATACAGATGCTTCAAAATACCTGAATTGATCGGTTCTTTGAAAAATTTCAATTTGCAGTCCCGCTTCTTTGTCAAGAATCTCATTTAATTCATCTGCCATTTCTGGTGTTGGAAGGTGTCGATTTCGAATTGCGGCCACGAACACCTAATTTCAAGAATAATGAGGAGAGATTTAGCTTCCCAGGAAAGATGACTCTGCATAATAATTGTGGGAAGGCATGTTAAAGGTCATGCAAGAAAATTGTTCAATTCCTTACCTGTAGAATCCGAACTATGGGACTTCCTTTAGGCACGTAATTCCGATACAATGACTTGCCCATGCCTACAAACACGATAGCGAATAATACAGCTACAGTGCACACACTAAAACTCCATTCCCAACCAACATTGGTACTTATCCAGACAAGGAATGTGCAACCGATTATGGATCCAACGGTAAGGCTAAATAGAAACCAGTTGAAAAAACTGGACAACTGAGTTGCCTCTTTAGGGTCCTTTTCATCAAATTGGTCTGCTCCCAGTGCAGGCAAAGCAGCTTTAATCCCACCGGTGCCAAATGCAACCAGGTATAGACCAGCAAAAAGTATTGCAGTTTGGTTACTGTCAGCAGCCTCACATTGATTCATTTGCCTAGCTGCAACACCCACGCAAGGAGTTGGTCTTAATTGATCAAAGTGTGCTTGCACTGCTAGAAGAGCAAATCCCTGCAAAATACAAATCCACCATTACTATCACTCATCAGAACTTCGGTTTTGAATTTTATGAGATGAAATTAAAAATCAGTTGTATTCCGTTGGAATCTATTTTTCTTTTTTCCTTTTTAAACGGATTAAATTATTCTCACAGAACAATTATAAGTCCGTGAAAGACGACCAATACACATCTTAGTGGTGGTGCAGGCTAAAATCATGATTGTTCAGACGTGTTATAATCTGATAATGATGCAAGATCTTTCTACAAAAGATAATTAATAACTGGAGTCAACAACATATTAATTAAGCCCTTTTCTCATTAATTAAGATGCCATTAGGCCACAGCCTTGGTAGTTGCTATTCTCCCCACCTGCCAAACTATTGAATTTAGGAAAATAATTGACTTAGTTAATGAAAAAGCTAAAATCATTTGATGATATATAAACAATAATTAAGCAGGTAAACCGATTTATATAGAATTTTAGTATGAACGTCATCTGAAACTCGCATGTTTATATTCAAATAGTTATTCTTGGAGAGTACGTTAGTTTGAAAAACAAGATATATCATTGTAATAGAGTATATTGCAGCAATTAAAAAGAGCTTTCATGAGGATGAAGACGTGAAGATCGTAAAGTTTGAGTGTGAGAATCGTGAGGATCATTACCACCAACTCAATGGATCCAAACAGGACAATGGTCTTGAATCTTGACAAATATGTATCTGTGATAAATCCTCCAAAGAGTGCTAGTAAGAATGAAGTCCCCAAGAAGTTGGTAAGCGTATTGGCGGATTTTGTTAAGCTGAAGTTCATGTATCCGTAGAAATAAGTTACCAAGCTCACGGCATTGGAAATAAATGCCATATTCTCAAGTGCTTCCGTAGCTGCATCATTTCACAATTAAATTTATTCATTAAAAATGCAACATGAAATCCACCGGGAAGAACGCTAGAAAATATCGAAGTTTTCCAGAAACTTGTTTCAAGTAAGATAAGATATTGTTATATAGTTACCGTAAACAAAAAGCGCTGCCCTGTTTCCTCCAAGCCTGATTTCTTGTTTAGGTTGTGTTTTATCATCTTTATTGGTGCCCTGTTGAGTGATCACGAAAGAATAAGTTAGCCAAATCCAAGAGGTGCTTGAACTTTACGTAGAAGAGAATGGAACAAAATCAAATATGTAATGAAGCATCGAGAGAATAGAGAAGCTTTTGGTTGTTCTGGCAGAATGAAAGAGATAAGATTAGTTTACCATTCTGTTGAGAGCTTTATTTCTTTCTGTGACTAATGGATGAAGGAGAAACGATTTCTTCTGATTCTGGTAGCTGGGTGTAACTTTGAACCCCTTTCCCTATTTATAGAATCAAATAATTGCAAAATTATATGTAGAGACAAGAAACCCAGAAAGGAATCATGTGGCATCTAAGCCTCTGAAAAAGCTAAGTGGGTCCTTCTGCATTATAAGACGAGTCATGTCTCTCTCCCCAGTCCCCACAAAGGAGACTTTATTAGCTGATTGTGTTATTTTGACTTTCTTAATAATTTTTTATTCAATATTGAAACCAATGACTTCTTTTGAGTTGACTAATTAAATTATAAGCTTGTTTGTCTCTGAAATTTACGTTCTCCTTGTGATTTTTGTTATAAGGAAAAAGAAAAATATGACAGTTAACATGGAAAACTGGACACCAAATGAGTATTCAGTGCTCATGGTTCATTAAGACGTCAGAAACTTTTCACTGTTTATTAGGTTCATCAGAATTATTCTGTCTAAGGAGCAGCCATAAAATGCTATCAATCATTGGGTGAGGCCTTGATGGTGAGGCATGGATTTTCCCACATCTCTTTTGCTGTGAAATTCTCAGCAAGTTAGCTACTTGGGAACTGGTAACTAGAAGGTAAATACAATTAACAATAAGCTCTGGCCGGCATTGGTGCAGATGGAAGAATATTAGTTTACTTATTAATATTTAATGACTTGGTATTATAATTTAGTGTCAACCCCTCAAAAAATGATAAAGATCTGTTGCGGACATTATAAAAATGGAAATTTGTGATAAATGATCAGACCAAATCAGAAAAGAAATAGAGGTTTGTGGTATATACAATCTGGTTCCAGAGGCTTGCTTCTCTGGGAAGTCTGAAACATTCTCATCTTATAATGTAATTAAACCCGTTACACATTCAGTTTTATCTTAATAAACAAGTTGGCTCTCCTCTTTGACTTTATAAAATCCAAATGATCCACTCCTTATGTATTATATTGGTTGCTTAAATTGTTGAAATGGCCTCAAGTTGTGGGAGAGTTCTTCTCACGTAGTAGTCCTATGTTTGAGGGGCTCCCGATTTTGTTATTATCGGTTTGGGTTGCTTGTTTATTGACATTTCGTTAGGCTTGTGGAGCATGCCCAGATATCATATGGCTTGTATAATTAAACTAATTCAACACAGGGAAACAGTAAGACTTTCAAGGGATAATGGTTTCCTGAATTGCGTAGGCGTCACAGCTCAACAGCCACAGCACTTCCCCTGCAACATTGATTTTCAGAGTGGCAAAACACATTTTTTTTCTAGCCAATAACCACCCAGAAGCAATTACCTGTAAGATTTGAGTCACACCTTCACACGGGTCTGGGACTGGGAAATGTGTTTATCTTTCGTTGTTTGACAGAAGATATTAATAATAGTATAATACTAATATTACTCCGAAATTTTATGCCAAAGAAAAAACAAAATATGTTCATGGCTGATCTTACAGCATCTTTTAACAGTATCAAAATGCTCGGATATTTTTTTTAAGTCATTGTCAAATGTCAATTAATCCTATCGGAAGCTGGTATTCTAGTATTAAGATAGGAGTTTCTTGATAAAATATTTTTAAGTCCCAGGTCAGGCTCTCCATTCTTTCATTGCTTAAGTTAATGAAAAAAAAAACAAGTTCAATGAAGCAAAGCCAAACAAAAGGTGCAAAATATCAATAATTAATTGTGAAATCAACTGAAATACAACCTTAAAAAATGTTGGAAATTGTGGGTCTATTAAAAGGGACATCATCGTTTCAATGTAAATGGTGCTTTGGCTTTTTGTTCTTGTCTTAACTGGAAGCATATTGCATTATAGAAAATGGTAGAAGACTTGGGGGTTTCTCTCCATAATCGTTTCGTCATCATCAACTTGGATTAGCATCTGGTGTAGTATTTTTAAATAAAAATGTGATTAATTGGCAGCTTATATCAGCCATAGCCAGCACAAGCATGCAAAAACAGAGAACTCAAATAATAAAAGGGTTTTAGTCTCACACCTGCTCGCACAAAACAAACTGAAAAAATAGAATAAAAAAGCCTGATTTATGATTTGACTCTAACCTATTATTCTATAAGAGAAAATGAGAAAAGCAACTACCAGACCAAGTACTGAGTTCCAATTCTTCCATTCAAAGAATGGAACATCACAGAGCATGTTTTATGATAGGATTAGAACCCACCATAAATAATTAAGCCCTTTTCTCATTAATTAAGATGTCATTAGGCCACAGCCTTGGTAGTTGCTATTCTCCCCACCTGCCAAACTATTGAATTTAGGAAAATAATTGACTTAGTTAATGAAAAAGCTAAAATCATTTGATGATATAAAAACAATAATTAAGCAGGTAAACCAATTTATATAGAATTTTAGTATGAACGTCATCTGAAACTCGCATGTTTATATTCAAATAGTTATTCTTGGAGAGTATGTTACTTTTAACAAGAAGATATATCATTGTAATAGAATATATTGCGGCAATTAAAAAGTGCTTTCATGTGGATGAAGACGTGAAGATCGTAAAGTTTGAGTGTGAGGATCGTGAGGAACATTACCACCAACTCAATGGATCCAAACAGGACAATGGTCTTGAATCTTGACAAATATGTATCTGTGATAAATCCTCCAAAGAGTGCTAGTAAGAATGAAGTCCCCAAGAAGTTGGTAAGCGTATTGGCGGATTTTGTTAAGCTGAAGTTCATGTATCCGTAGAAATAAGTTACCAAGCTCACGGCATTGGAAATAAATGCCATATTCTCAAGTGCTTCCGTAGCTGCATCATTTCACAATTAAATTTATTCATTAACAATGCAACATGAAATCCACCGGGAAGAACACTAGAAAATTTCGAAGTTTTCCAGAAACTTGTTTCAAGTAAGATAAGATAATGTTATATAGTTACAGTAAACAAAAAGCGCTGCCCTGTTTCCTCCAAGCCTGATTTCTTGTTTAGGTTGTGTTTTATCACCTTTATTGCTGCCCTGTTGAGTGATCACGAAAGAATAAGTTAGCCAAAGCCAAGAGATGCTTGAACTTTTCGTAGAAGAGAATGGAACAAAATCAAATATATAATGAAGCATCGAGAGAATAGAGAAGCTTTTGGTCGTTCTGTCAGAATGAAAGAGATAAGATTAGTTTACCATTCTGTTGAGAGCTTTATTTCTTTCTGTGACTAATGGATGAAGGAGGAACGATTTCTTCTGATTCTGGTAGCTGGGTGTAACTTTGAACCCCTTTCCCTATTTATAGAATCAAATAATTGCAAAATTATATGTAGAGACAAGAAACCCAGAAAGGAATCATGTGGCATCTAAGCCTCTGAAAAAGCTAAGTGGGTCCTTCTGCATTATAAGACGAGTCATGTCTCTCTCCCCAGTCCCCACAAAGGAGACTTTATTAGCTGATTGTGTTATTTTGACTTTCTTAATAATTTTTTATTCAATATTGAAACCAAGGACTTCTTTTGAGTTGACTAATTAAATTATAAGCTTGTTTGTCTCTGAAATTTACGTTCTCCTTGTGATTTTTGTTATAAGGAAAAAGAAAAATATGACAGTTAACATGGAAAACTGGACACCAAATGAGTATTCAGTGCTCATGGTTCATTAAGACGTCAGAAACTTTTCACTGTTTATTAGGTTCATCAGAATTATTCTGTCTAAGGAGCAGCCATAAAATGCTATCAATCATTGGGTGAGGCCTTGATGGTGAGGCATGGATTTTCCCACATCTCTTTTGCTGTGAAATTCTCAGCAAGTTAGCTACTTGGGAACTGGTAACTAGAAGGTAAATACAATTAACAATAAGCTCTGGCCGGCATTGGTGCAGATGGAAGAATATTAGTTTACTTATTAATATTTAATGACTTGGTATTATAATTTAGTGTCAACCCCTCAAAAAATGATAAAGATCTGTTGCCAACATTATAAAAATGTAAATTCGTGATAAATGATCAGACCAAATCAGAAAAGAAATAGAGTTTTGTGGTATATACAATCTGGTTCCAGAGGCCTGCTTCTCTGTGAGGTCTGAAACATTCTCATTTATATATTCAGTTTTATCTTTATAAACAAGTTGACTCTCCTCTTTGACTTTATAAAATCCAAAGGGTCAACTCCTTATGTATTATATTGGTTACTTAAATTGTTGAAATGGCCTCAAGTTGTGGGAGAGTTCTTCTCACGTAGTGGTCCTATGTTTGAGGGGCTTCCGATTTTGTTATTATCGGTTTGGGTTGCTTGTTTATTGACATTTCGTTAGGCTTGTGGAGACTGCCCACATATCATATGGCTTGTATATTAAACTAATTCAACACAGGGAAACAGTAAGACTTTCAAGGGATAATGGTTTCTGAATTGCGTAGGCGTCACAGCTCAACAGCCACAGCACTTCCCCTGCAACATTGATTTTCAGAGTGGCAAAACACATTTTTTTCTAGCCATAACCACCCAGAGCAATTACCTGTAAGATTTGAGTCACACCTTCACAAGGGCCTGGGACTGGGAATGTGTTTTATCTTTCGTTGTTTGACAGAAGATATTAATAATAGTATAATACTAATATTACTCCGAAATTTTATGCCAAAGAAAAAACAAAATATGTTCATGGCTGATCTTACAGCATCTTTTAACAGTATCAAAATGCTCGGATATTTTTTTTAAGTCATTGTCAAATGTCAATTAATCCTATCGGAAGCTGGTATTCTAGTATTAAGATAGGAGTTTCTTGATAAAATATTTTTAAGTCCCAGGTCAGGCTCTCCATTCTTTCATTGCTTAAGTTAATGAAAAAAAAAACAAGTTCAATGAAGCAAAGCCAAACAAAAGGTGCAAAATATCAATAATTAATTGTGAAATCAACTGAAATACAACCTTAAAAAATGTTGGAAATTGTGGGTCTATTAAAAGGGACATCATCGTTTCAATGTAAATGGTGCTTTGGCTTTTTGTTCTTGTCTTAACTGGAAGCATATTGCATTATAGAAAATGGTAGAAGACTTGGGGGTTTCTCTCCATAATCGTTTCGTCATCATCAACTTGGATTAGCATCTGGTGTAGTATTTTTAAATAAAAATGTGATTAATTGGCAGCTTATATCAGCCATAGCCAGCACAAGCATGCAAAAACAGAGAACTCAAATAATAAAAGGGTTTTAGTCTCACACCTGCTCGCACAAAACAAACTGAAAAAATAGAATAAAAAAGCCTGATTTATGATTTGACTCTAACCTATTATTCTATAAGAGAAAATGAGAAAAGCAACTACCAGACCAAGTACTGAGTTCCAATTCTTCCATTCAAAGAATGGAACATCACAGAGCATGTTTTATGATAGGATTAGAACCCACCATAAAAGTAGTTAAGGAATCTGGTCTAAGTGCATGCATTTGAAATAATAAAAGAGTAGTTAACTATTTTTGTCCGGTGATTAATTCTAGGAGTTGGTAAGATGCTTTCTTCAAACAAAATTCATATAGTTTTTAAAGGCAGCGTTTAACTTAATATGGTATCCTGGTAGCAGGTAACAGACAGGGCAGGCACTAGAAAGAGCCAAAGTTCAGATAAAAGCAGCTAAAAACCTGAAGCGTCGCCTCACTCCCACAGGTTTACAGTAATAGTGTGATAGAGACTAAGGCATATTCCTTACCTCATCCTGCAACTTGGCTTCAATTAAATTTGGCAGCTTAAACTAAACCGAGTTCAGTCTGAGAAATTATTTAATTTCAAAATTTATTTATTTCAATCCCAAACTTATCCTTAAATTATTTCGAGAATTTTATTTGAGAAGATGAAGAGCCAGTGAAAGGTTCGGGTCTCTCCACCAATTCAACACCTATTGGGTGATCGAATAATTAATTAGGATTCTTGGGTGTATTACTCTAGAGATCCTACGTTCGCTTCACCTCAATTGTTAATAAAGGTAGTCACTAAAGCTCTTACCCGACTGATAATTATAAGGTCTCAAGATATTAGTTGAGGTGCGCATAAACTAACTCGAATATCTAATTATTAAAAAAAAAGAAAGGGTAGGGTAAAAGGATTGTAATTTGAATAGAAGACAATTAAAAGAATATATTAGTGGGGCTAATTAGGAAAGTGACGGAAGACACATAAGTTATAGTTATTATCGGCCCAACCCAATCCTTGTATAGTCATCTTTGGGCTAATTTCAAACTAAGATCCATACGGCAAGCCTCTAAGGCCCAAAATGATAGCCCAATAATCAACGAATAAAGCCCCATTCTCTCTAAGCTTAATTCCCAAGCAAACTTTAACGCGGCATCTCCTACGCGGCAATCGTCCATTTGAAACCCATGACCACGAATTATTTATTATTATTATTATTTTTTTGACCTGTGTAATTAATAAATTCAAAGAGACCCTGTCGGTTTGGTTTCATTTCTTGATCTGTTTGATAAACTCACTGCAAAAACTATGGATATTCGAGACTCGATCAGCAAACAAACCGATGTAGCTTTGTCCCTCACGAAGCACGTCTCCTCAACTGTAGCCAAAGACTCGAACCTAGTCTTCTCACCGTCATCCATCCACGTGGTGCTCAGCCTGATCGCAGCTGGATGCAAGGGTCCCACTCTGGACCAACTACTCTCATTCCTTAAGTCCAAATCTAACGATCAACTTAGCACTTTCTCTTCCGAACTGGTCGCCCTTGTTTTCGCCGATGGGAGTTCTTCTGGAGGGCCTCGCTTGTCCTTCGCTAACGGTGTTTGGATCGATAAGTCACTCTCTTTCAAGGATTCTTTCAAACAGGTTGTGGATAATGTCTACAAGGCTGCCTCAAATCAAGTTGATTTTCAAACCAAGGTAATTTTTTTAATTAAATTAAGAAACAGCCTCAATGCTATGTCATTATTCAGTTTGCTCAATTATTGACGTTGGACTGGTGGCACTAGCTTTCAATCGATTTAGTTAATATCCACACATTATACTAATACTGGCAATTAAAGAATGAGCAAGAAATGTTGTTAATTTTACGGAGCCTTATATGATTTGTAGCTAATAGTTGAATAGGAAAGAATGGCCTGTACAATGCTTAGCCAAAATTAATGCACTATCGGGATTTGGCCCCTAACAAATTATACTGTCAATTGATTTTTTTTTATCCACTTAAAGGATGACACTGAACTGGAAATCAGGAATGTTTACCCTTGACGCTCGTTGTAATTGTTACTTATAATTGAAAGAATGGTGAGTACAATGCTTAGCAATTGTTAGGTTACGACTCCAATTGGTTTTGTTTTGTTTAGGCACAATGCTGGTAAGACAACAATTGCTCGCATATTTTTATGCTCGATAAAATGGGTTCTTTCAATTTCCAAGCATTCCTAAATGTGGCTCATGTTAGTGATACTTTACTATAAATACCATCCTGTTGTATTTTTTAAACTTAAAAAAAAAATAATAATAATAATAATAATTATAGAGTTTATCTTTAAGCTACCATGAGAACTAAACCTAAGGATGAGTGACCAACGTATGCAGAGACAATCCAAACCCATGTATACATCCGCAATTGAACCAGCCCCCTACTTCTACTGAAACCTTTTGTCTAAACAATCAACCCAAAACACCTTTCCAATTTTGGTAGCTAGTTTCAAGGCACTCATGGTTTGTATTGTTGTTGATGGCATATTTGAAGGCGGCTGAAGTAACTGGAGAAGTAAATTTGTGGGCTGAAAAGGAGACCAACGGCCTTATTAAAGAGGTACTTCCTTCTGACTCTGTTGACAGTACGAGCAGGCTCATCTTTGCAAATGCACTGTACTTCAAAGGAGCTTGGAATGAAAAATTTGATTCATCAAAAACAAAGGACTATGACTTTCACCTTCTAAATGGAGACTCTGTTCATGTGCCCTTCATGACTAGCAAGAAGAAGCAGGTTGTCAAGGCCTTTGACGGTTTCAAAGTTCTAGGGCTTCCTTATAAACAAGGTGAGGATAAGCGTTGTTTCTCCATGTACTTCTTTCTTCCAGATGCAAAAGATGGGCTACCAGCTTTGGTAGAGAAGTTGGCCTCTGATTCTGGGTTCTTAGACTGCCACCTTCCACATCAAAAAGTAGAAGTAGGTGATTTCAGAATTCCGAGGTTTAAGATTTCCTTTGGGTTTGAAGCTTCCAAAGTTCTTAAGGGATTAGGACTTGTGTTACCTTTCTCTGGTGATGGAGGTTTGACAGAGATGGTGGATTCCGCTGTCGGTCAGAACCTGTATGTTTCAAGCATATTCCAGAAGGCCTTCATAGAAGTTAATGAAGAAGGGACAGAAGCTGCAGCTGCTTCTGCTGCTGTAGTAAAACTCAGGTCACCGCCTGTTTTTAACAAGATAGATTTTGTGGCTGACCACCCATTCTTGTTTGTGATCAGAGAAGACATGACTGGAATGGTGATGTTCACTGGCCATATTCTCAATCCTTTGGCAGGTTGATTAGTGCTGGAAATGTGCAAGTAGATTATGCTTAACAGTCTTAAAACATAAATAATTACTCAAAATAGATATGTTGCAGTGTGCCAATTTCAGAAAGCTCTGAATTGGATTAAGTTGTGTGTTAGTTCTGGTTATGTTTGTCGTGCTTGTTTACTCTTTAATGCCACTAAGTTTAGGAAAAAAAAATTGTACTATGTAGTGAAGGAGAACGTGATTGTAATAACATGTGAGTTCTATAGGTTGATGTATCAATGGCGCTTGACTGCTTGCACCCTCGTGAAATGTTTTCTTTGTTGTTTCTGAGGCTTTTATCTATTATAGTATTGTTGGTGGATTTAAGCTAATTTTATGGACCATAACATAGTGCCTTGGCCTCAAAGGAATTGCACTTGATAGAGGGCAAATGGTTGTATATCCAATTGAGAATTACCTAGTGTGGGATTCGGAAAGTAAGTTGTCTGTCTCTAATCCTGATTTGCAGAAGGCACCAGGGGAAATTCACGTTTTGCGGCATGAGGAGTTCATAGTTTATTGTTAAGGAGTGGGTCTTATTTCTGAAGCTTTAGTTAGATGCTTAGATCATATGATTTATTCTTTATTCTTTATTTATTTTTTGCAAAGCTTCCATCTCATTCAACGTTGAAAAACAGAGTGAGGTGCAAGTTCATTAAGTTAGATGTTATTAGTTGACTATAACAAATATAATATTGGGTTCATAAGATACTTTGGGTTCAAGTTTCATGCATTATTTAACAATTCTGACAGAAAAAAAATTAAAAAAAAATCTCAGCAAGTTCATTAATTTAGGGATTTTCACTTTTGACTAACAAATATGATATAATATTTGGTTTAGAAGATGCTTTAGATCCAAGTTTCAAGCACACCACACATTGTTAATATCAATTACAAGTTACAATTCAGGGGAAAATATTGGGAATAAAGAGATAGCCTTTCTGTGAGTATAATGTATATATAAATTGTTAGTACTTGTTAGCACTTATGAATAAAGCCAATAAAAGTACATTCAATTTTCGTCTTGAGTTAAATGTGGTTACCCTACCAGGCAACCACGGTCGGCGCCGACGTCTGTACTTCAATTATATATAAATCTTCTATGAGCATGAGCAGCCATGTAGCCGTGATTAACAGGAGGCATGGCAGCTCTGGTCTGGTGACGAGACAATGGGTGGGTGGCAACTGGCAAGTAGTATTAATCAGTTTTAAATTGGTTACCATTTAAGCAGCAGAGCAGATGACCCCACACACGGCATGGCCTTCACGTGGCTGGCGCGAAATTTTAAATCTCTGGGATTAAGGTTATAGCTCCTTTTAAATTTTGTATTGCCACATGTAGCACCTTTTTTTTAGTTCTAATTTTCGATTAACGCCACTGCTTTATTGCAAACCCTGGTATATGAAAGTTGGAACATAATCGGTTATGGGTTTTAGTTTGTGTCGATTGATGTTGTTTTTGACCCTTATGTCTATAATCATAACAACCTCAGCTTCAAGTCGCTAAACTAATGATAAAAGAGAATGAAATTATTGAAAAAGTTAAAAAGGGTTTAGTAGTGCCTTATCCATTAGTCGGTGATTTGATTAGGTGCCTAATTACAGTAACTCTTACAATAATTCAATATTTGATTTGATTAGTGAATCTACTTAAGATTTTGCCTAATTTTAATTGCTGTCAAATCAATGACAAAAGAAAATTCATTGAATCAAATATTTTAGATGATTGATGATTCGATAAGGACTTTTAAGTATATTATTCAAGAGATCTTGAATTCAGTTACTAATAGAGATGGTTACTAAAACTCTTAGTTGATAGGTTAGTTGAAATATACGTAAATTGAACACGATATCTTCAATAAAAAAAAAAAAAAAATCGTTAAATCATGTTAGTTAGAGTTTTTATTTCACCGGTAGTTTTAAGGTCCCAGAAGATTAGTTGAAGTATACATAAGTTAGACTAGACACCCCGATCATTAAAAAAAAAAATAATCATTGAATCATGTTACAATAACTAACGAGGAATGCTACAGTTACCGAAGGGTATGCACTGAATTTGTGTATCAATGATGTGGCGAAATTCTGACTGTTGATTAATTATAAGTTAATATTAATCAATGGTCAGGATTTTACCACGTCATTCGGTGTGTAACTTTCGGTAACTTTATCATTTTCCATAACTAATATGACATTTAGTGAAAGCTTAGAGCATTTCCAAATGACTCTTTATATAATTCAAACTCTTTATTATAAAAAGTTTATCAATAAAAATAAGAGTCTAACATACTCTTTATTTTTTAAATATAAATTAAAGAGTCTCTCCACATTTAGAGAGTCAAATTTCACTCACTATCATAATTTTAAATAATAAATTATAAATTTTTATGTATTTTATTTATTATTTATCTCTTCTATTAAGTTTCTTTTTTGAAAAGCATATTATCCCTCTTAAAATTTAAATAATCTATTAGATTTGAGTAAAAATTTATTTTTATATTTAAAAATTAATAAAATTCTTTAATTATATGAAACACACTATTTAAACTAAACGGCATTATCAGAGATCATACAACAAATACAATTTGACTGTGGTCATAAAAAGATGGTATAGAAAAGGGAATTGATTGTTTGAACAATAATTGTTACAATATTCAGAGGAATCATGATTCGAAAAATGGCGAGATAGTAATTTAAAGAAGCATTGAATGTTAAAATTGGAAGAAATGAAAAGCTTGCAAGAAGTAGAAACTGGTTGAACAGTAAAGAACACTTGCGTTGTGTCGTGCCCATACGTCATTAAATTTTTTATAAAAAAATGCTTCGATACACGACAATCTTAACGTAATCCAAACTCCGGAGGTAGCTCTTTTGCTTTCGATCTTACGCTACAATTGAATTAAAAATCTAATCTTAAGTCTTTCTCTTTCTCTAGAATAAAAATCTCCACAATAATAAATGAACTGAACTGTTCATTTGGTAAGTTTTTAATTAGTTTCTGGAGATAACAGAAGTGTATTCGTATTTTTAATTAATATATATTTCTGGTACTATGTTATTTTTATTAATCTTTGCTCCTGTCGGTGATTCAAAGCTTCAGTAAGAGTAACAGATACTCGTTTTTTTTTTTCTGTAATTTGAAGAAGGAGGAGGAGGAAAGTAAGAAGATAATTGATCGAAAGATGGTCGAAACAGCGAACCACCAGCATGCACTGCCGGCTCAGTCGGCGCCACCACCACGACCACCTACATCTCTTGCAGTTACAAGGGGTCCCACTTGGACTCCGGCCGAGCAACTTCAACAACTCCAGTACTGCATCCACTCCAATCCTTCTTGGCGTTAGTCTCTTTCTTTCTCTTTTTGATGGTTTCTTGTTCTGTATTGGATATTTATCTTCTACTTTATAGTATAATCATTGTTTTTAGTATTGTTCTTTCTGTTTATTCCGAAAAAAAAGCTGGGTATTATTTTTAGTGTTGTTCTTTCCGTTTATTCCGAAAAGGAAAGCTGGGTAAAGTTTAGATTCTATGGTAAAGTGAATTCTTTTTGTTTTTAATATAAATTTTTATAGTTCTGCTGCATGTCTACATCTATGTGATCGACTTTAGAACATAGCTGATCATCAGTTTCTTTTTATTTATGGATTCTTTTTACCTCAGTTTTGCTGATCAACATCTTTTGATCCTGGGATTTGTTTATGTTTCATATTTGTTTAGTCTAGCCAATCCTTTACCTTAAAATCAACGCCTCTTCTTCTCCTTCTTTTTTCTTCAATAAAAAGAATGTGTTGAATTTCATCTAATTGAAATCTAGAACAAGTCTAAACTGCCGTTATTTCCCTGCTATTTTGATTTATATTTCGTACACTAATTTTATTTATTTATTTTTGTAAAAGGAAATGAGATTTCGGGCCTACTTCTAAATTATGCTCTCAACTTTTTTACTAATCATAATTAATAAATTGTGTTTCACAGCCCAGACAGTCTTACTGGCTTTCCAACACTATATTGTAATGCTTGGAACTGCTGTCTTGATTGCCAGTGCACTTGTGCCTCAGATGGGTGGGGACAATGTACGTTTCAATCCACCAGATCAGTTTCTTATAATAAATACACTGACTGATAAATCTCAACTTCTGAGAATTGGTGTTGATATGAACAGGGTGACAAAGCCCGAGTGATTCAATCATTGCTGTTCATGTCAGGAGTGAATACACTGCTGCAAACACTTTTCGGCACAAGGCTTCCTACGGTGATGGGTCCATCAGCTGCTTTCACCCTGCCAGTATTGTCAATCATCAATGATTACTCTGATAGGACGTTCACATCCGAGCATGAGGTATAGAAAGTTCCAATGAGATTCAATTGAAAAGTGAGGAAAAAAAATAGATAGCCTGTTAATATGTGAGGTGCGTGTGTTGATTTTCTGCATAAAGGACGTGTGATGGTGTTGAAACATTGGTACATATAAAATTATTTGCGATGAAGTTAGAATCATTAATTTTTTAGTAAGCTTCTGCAACATACAATTTCTTCTAGATTTTTGTGGTATGGACAACTGTTGCAGATTTTCAAGTATTTTAAATGTTAGTATGAATACTCCTGAATCATATCTGCAATTAATTCTTGAATAGTTCTTGGGTGGAAACATGCTCTTTCTTGTAAGATACCTTGTTCTTTCTCCCTTGAATTAATTTTATCTATTTTTACTAATTATTTTTGCTCAAGAATATTGTAAGCATTTGCTACCAGAATCTCAGTTATTTATACTTTACTGTATAAAACTGCCTCTTGCCTTTTGATTGTCTACCTATATTAATGTGCCATCCTGTATACTGCACTGAATGCTCTGATAGTTATCATGGTTGCTTGCAGAGATTTCTCCATACCATGAGAACTATACAAGGATCATTAATTGTCTCTGCATTTCTCAACATCGTGCTTGGATATAGTCAGGCTTGGGGTAATCTAACAAGGTAATATAGTCGAGTTTTGAACTTAAATCTTGTTCCTGCATCTTTAATGCTCAAGACTCTTAGTTATGGTCTGATACCTATTTGAGAAAATTAATTGGGTCTCAGAGCTGGTTTTTACTTGTCCCTCTTTTCTTTTGCTACCTCCAGATTATTTAGTCCCATTATCATCGTTCCAGTGGTTTGTGTAGTTGGTCTTGGTCT